GTGTCTATTCTGCAAGTTTGGTCCACGTAAATACATATTCTTTTTTTAATTATTACTGTTAATACCTATTAATATGTTATAACTCTCATCACTCTAATTCTAATGTTTATTTTAAAATTATTCAGGTATATTCATCGTGTATATATTGATAAATCCACATCATAAGTATATGGATTTATTGACCCTGCTAGGTGCGTGTATGTTGATAATGTGCAAAAAATTGAAACAGAGGTTAAAAAATACATACAAGATAAGTTATGTGACGAAAAAGAGTGTGTCACTTACTACCATTTATTCATGGGTAAGTTTGTATGAAAGTGTGTTTTTTATTTTTTATATTTGATAACATATATATTTTATGTGACTTTTGTGTTTTCACGCACACGTACAGAGACCATTGGCAATTAATAGTCATTTGCTCAAGAGACAATATTGTGGTCGTCTTTTGTTCACTTCATCGGAAACTTAATCCAACCATGAAGAAAATTGATACAAAGTAAGTTTATATTTTATCTGACTTTTGTTATAATATATGTTATATCCCATATACATAAAATTTTACAAAAGTAATTTAATATTTTATGTTGCTCTATATATTTTTTTCTTCCTGAATTAGTGCTTTCGGGGTTTATCAAATGACAAATGGCAATAGAAAAAAGGCTACATGGCTCCAACCCAAAGTAAGCGTGATGTAAATTATAATTCTATATTTAATTTTATCATAAATATTCACTAATTGTGTCATTCATTCTAGACAAGACTATAACATGACTCTATTGATTGTGGATACTATGCTATGAAAAATATGTTGGATATTGTCTCTGCCAACATAACTGAGTCTTGGTTGCAGGTAAATAAAAATAACTTTACTTTGCGATTTGCAACTTAAGGTGAATTTTTAAATAATAACTTTATATTGTTATTTACGTATTGTAGGTATTTGATGACCCAACAAAATTAACACAAGATGATTTGTATAATTTGCGACTTTGTTAGGCAAAATGTTTCTTTGAGTTATATAAAAATTAAGCTTTATATGGTGAGTTATATAGAATTGTCTCTATATATATGAATTGAGTTTCTTGACTTTGGTATTGTCTGTTGATGTTTATTGGTATTATTATTTATTGTCAGCAAACGTGATTTTGGCGTTGTCTACCGAAGTTAGCTACAACTCATTTCTTGTGGATTACACGTTGGTATTCAAGTGTGGTAAAGGACTTATAAATGGTTGAATATTTTTGTTTGTTTTCACTGGTTTTGTTGTTGTATTAGTCCACCGTGTAAAAATACATATAATTTTGTACACTTGTGTGTATACTAGTTTATGACTTTTGTAAATCAATTTGTTCATGTTGAAGAATATGTGTATCCTAACTATTTGGTGCAATGAAACTAAAAGATTAGTTGAAAAAATATGAAAATTAAATTTCATATACCAAATAGGGACTAAAATGTGGTATGTGTGATGTTGGAAAAATATGAAAAATTAGTTACCAAAAAAACTACAGGGATTCCACATCAATTCGTATAAAAATTAGCAAATTTTTTAAGAAAAACAACACACCTTTTACATCGGGCCAAAAAGGCAACCGATGTAAAAAACACACTTGTGACACCTTTTGCATCAGTTCTGCTTAACAACTGATGTAAAAAACACACCTGTGACACCTTTTACATCGATTCTGCTGAACAACCGATGTAAAAAATACACCTGTGACACATTTTACATCGGTTCTGAATACCAACCTGTGTAAAAAGTGCTTTTTTTTAAAACAAATAATAAATTCATATTTCACATCAGTCTTAACTGTCAACGATGTAATAGATGTATTTTTTACATCGGTCTATGATCCGATATAAAATATCTTTGACTTACTACATCGCTTGGCTTTACATCGGACCCAGACCCGATGTAAAAAGTCATTTATGCACTAGTGAATTGTAAGCCTAATTGCTTAAGTTAACTTGTATTCTAAGTTAGCTTGTAATGAGTAATTGTTTAAAAGCCAATTAGGTTAGCGTGCCAAGTTTCTTATAAATAGCATGCTAGTCTCTCCTCTTGTATAAGGAAAAATAGGAAGATAAAGTCATAATTCAAGAGAGAGGGAGAGAGAGAGAGAGAAGAGAGAGAGAGAGAGGTTATTTTTTATTCTTGTATACCTGTAATCTTGTTTGATAGAGAAAGGAAAAAATAACAGTTTATAGCCAATCCTTGTTGTTTCTTCTTGTTCTTCTTACTTGTTTTCTTTGTTAACCCTAACCCTTGTGTGTTTGTTGAATATAAAAAAACCGTTTATATTTTGTTTCAAGGCATTCTATTCACAACAAACAACAACAACAACAAAAACTTTAAGATTTTGGATCTCAACACCACCACCACCACAACAACAACAACACTGACAATAGCAACAACAATAATTAGTAGTGATATTTGACGTACCAGATCTCTAAATAAGAAGTAAAAGAAAATGATTTGGATCTCTGAATAAGAAATGAGAGCCATAAACACATAACATCTTCGTATTGAAGATGATATGTATTTATGACTCTCGTTATTTAAGACTCTTCATTAAAGTTCTATTTGTGTTGTTTAGACAAATGAAACTGAATGCTACAAGTTATATATATATATATATATATATATATATATATATATATATATATATATATATATATATATATATATATATATATATATATATATATATATATATATATATATATATATATATATATATATATATATATATATATATATATATATATATATATATATATATATATATATATATATATATATATATATATATATATATATATATATATATATATATATATATATATATATATATATATATATATATATATATATATATATATATATATATATATATATATATGAGAAACATATTCATCCTGGTTGAAAAGAAAACCGAGGTGAAAAGTAAGTAGCATATTTTTATATATCAGAGAAACATTTTTACCTCGATTGGAAAGAAAATCGAGGTGAAAAATTGCATATTTTTAGATAAAAAATAAAATATTCAAGAAGACGCCAGTTTTAATGAGATAAAAACATAAACGGAGGTCAACGAGATTTGAAGCATGTAAACTGAATATGTTTACCCCTCGGTTTTCAGAATAACCGACGAAATATATTGAATTTTATTTTATAAAAAAAACAAGGTGTGTCCAGGAATTATACCTCGATTTTACAAAAATTGAGGTGAAAGCTTCGTCATGTAATGTAGTATTTTTAGTAGTGGACTCTTAATATATAACTCCTAGAAGCCTAAGGTTGTTTAAAAGTATTTTCCAACCCCCTTAAATATCTCAAAAGGTTTCCTAAATTTCAAAAACACATTCTTAGAAATTTACCTTTGTCTCTCTAAGATTACCCGTAGGATTCTCAAACCGTTTACTTTCTCTTCAACTCTAAAGTTTTAAAGGTTGTGATAACAAACATGCAAAAGATACATATTTATAATTACTAAAATCCAACAGATCCATAACAAGTCCAAAACATAATCCATAAACGAACAGATTCACGGAATAAAATAACAAAGCCCAATACATGCGAATTGACAAAATTGGACCAGAGCTACGACAAACCAAACAGCCAGACCTAGAACCATTGTCGCCCCACTAGCTCTGTGCCAGACTCCCTCTACTCTGGCTTCACCGCCAATTACACTTCGCCCCGACTCCATCGTCAATCTCACTGTGTATTACTATGTCAATTTAAGAGCTAGTCTCACGCCGCGCCAGTCTTCTTCGCATTTGTACCGTCTTTGTCGACTTTCAAATTGATTTTTGATCTCTACAATATTAAAATATATTTTCTTTCTTTATTACTTAAGGTTTTAATTCGACAATTAAAGTGGTTGACTTCAACATTGATAGGTCATCAATCTCATACTTCTAGCCCAAAAAAAAACATAATTTTACAACTAAACTCCAAAACGCTGATTTGGAACCAAAAATTGAAACCCTTAACAATTAGAAACAATTTTCTTTAAATAGAAAAAAAATCTAAAATCACACAAACGAGTTGCACCATTTATAAGGCGTATTAAGATCTCGTAATGCGTTATGTTGCATAGCTTCGTGCGCCACAATTTTTTCAATAGTTAGCTAACAATAGATTTTGACTTAAAAAAATTTCAGGAAATTAACAAAATTCTTCATTTTCTTTTTCTTTTCAAGTTTGTATTAAAGTCTTACTCACCGTAACTTTCATAATAAAAATCTCACCAATCTTATTTAATTTAAATAACTTTAAATCAGATTGAGTTTTTTCACAATAGTTTGAATATTTCGAACATTGTTCTGTTTTGCTTTGTTTCATTCAAAATAAATTATAATTATCATTAAAAACTTAGAAATACTATTTAAAATACGTAGCATAATCTATGATTTAGTGTTATCAACAGACCAAAGACTAGAAATGAAGAAAGAAAAGTGTTGAATATTAAACCCAAAATTCAGCAAGGTGCTTATGGCCAAGGAGAGTATATCCTAACTCTAAAGCATTTATTGAAATTCTTTTTTAGTACAAAGATGTGTACTAAGGGTACCTCGGAAAGATTCTATAATACTCCATATATATATATATATATATATATATATATATATATATATATATATATATATATATATATATATATATATATATATATATATATATATATATATATATATATATATATATATATATATATATATATATATATATATATATATATATATATATATATATATATATATATATATATATATATATAACATGCACATTAATCACTTTTCTTATGCTCAATATAAAAAGCACTTTAGATGCAACTGTACGTAAAGCTAACTATAACTAATAATATACCACCGAAAAAAAAGTCAGTAACTAAAAGTGATTAACTAAAAAAGAAAAAGAAAATATGGTTACTTAACATTCACAGCAAACATTACAAACTGCTTATTAACTAAAATAGATTAATATTAATGAATCAATCTTGATTCCTCAATTGACTGTAAAACCTTTTTATGAAATCTTCAGCTGCTTTATCAACTTGATTGTCCTTCTCATCATCATCTCTTAAAGGGAAAGGTGAGTCAGTCACCCTCAATTGCCTCACCATTGGACTACGTCCGAATCCGGGCAGTGCTGGAGACGCTTCTACAATCGCTTGTTCGTTGTTAAGCATCTCCAACACTGCTTTCATTGAATTTATAGTCATCACCTCATCATCACGTGTAGGTGGTGCTTGATTATTGTGCTTGTGGCTATGATGACGCTTCCCTATTGAGAAGAAGTGGTTGGGAGTGTTGCTGCAGCTAAATTCATACTCTGTTGAGGTGATGAATTGGTGGTTTGAGACACGGGATCGTCGGCTTGAGGTGGAGCTGCCGGGGTTGTGGTGGTTATGATGATGGAACATTAGATTTACAATGGCTTTTCCGGCTAGTTTTCCGCGGCGTTTGAGCATCATGTTAAGATCCATCATTAGTTTTCTCTTTAATATGCCTTTTTTCAGCATGAAGAACGCAACACGTACCATATTCCACACTTTCTTTGATATCACGTGTAGATTGCTTTCCATATTAAATTTTTTGTTTTGATAGAATTGTTTAGGTTTGGATAATTTGAGAGAGTTAGAAAGAGATTTTGAGAGAGAGAAATATGAAGAGATGAATTTGATTTGAGGACAAAAGAGGGAGGAGAGTGGTGAGGTTATATATAGTGAAGAAAAGGTAAGAAGGAAAATGAGAAATGAATAATGAATACATGTTTTGTATATTACTTTACGTCTTTATAATATTTTGTTATATTTTAATCCGAACATTATTGGAGGAAGCCTACATATGCTTTTAAAGAAGGACAAAAGGAGCTTGCTTTACTTGCTTGATATTAAACATCCACACTTTAAAAAAAAATTAATAATGGTCGTTTGAATACTAAAAATAATTTTTTAAATAAAGAAAAATTCAAATAATTTTTTAAAAAAAATTTAATAATGATCGTTTGATCACTCTAAATAATTTCTCAAACGATGAGAATTCAAATAATTTTCCAAAAAAAAAATGTAAACGTAGCCGTTTGAACACTCAAACTAATTTTTCAAACGAGAAGAAATTCAAATAATTCTCCTAAAAAAGTTTAATAATGGTTGTTTGACTACTCCAAATAATTTCTCGAACGAGGAGAAATTTAAATAATTCTTAAAAAAAAAATCAATAATGGTGGTTTGACCACTCCAAATAATTTCTCGAATGTGGAGAAATTCAAAATATTCTTCAAAAAGAATTCAAGAAAATATTCGAAAAATTTAACGACTAGAAAGAAAAATGAAGAAGTCGACAATTCGAGGATTCATAGTAGAGACAACGAGGAAGAAAAAACTCAAAAGTAGTTTTTGGTGTGTTTTTGAAATGAAACATGAATGAAAGCTAGCCAAATCATGTAATCTAAGCAATGAGAATTATAGTTTTCTCAATTAACAAACAAACACACATACTTTTATAACAATGTGGAACTTAAGGAATTTTTTCAAATTCATTCCCATATTGAAATATTGACATGTTCCAACAATTCCCCAACTTAAATTTAAAAAAGTGTCAAAAATAACATCAAAAATTTTCTAAGATTGTGCATATACAAATGTTTCTATGAATTAAACCTCTACATAACAAGTTGGATTCTGATACAACAATAGTGACTCTATCTCAAACATCAAACCCGCACAAAATATTTTTAGGGTGTATTCTAAAAACACGTGCTTTAATGGTCTTGCAGGCATATCCTAGTTGAGCGAGACTCTAGGAATTATGCCTTGAAATTTCATAGGAACCAACTAAAGTTTTACAATCACATATGTGAGTCTATCAAGAGTACTTCTATAGAAAGATACTCCACTCATATAGATCATATATCTCATTATGAGTTTATATTATCACATTCTCTTATCGCTTCAAGATTCATGCTTGTCTTATAGGTTATTTAAAGATTCATTCACTAACAATGTTGTATTTTCTTCTTACTTAACGTCTCTTACCATTGTAATAATGCTTCTCAACTTTTGCAATAGTTGTGGGACCTCAACTTGCAAGTAAATTAACCAACTTGCTTCTTTATTAGCAGTTGCTAATGTTATCATTTTAGAATACATCATGGATTGAGCTAAAATAATATGTTTCTTTGACTTCCAAGATACAACTCCTCTAACTCTACTGAATATATATCCACTAGTTAATTTGGAATCATCTGATACGGTGCTCCAATTTGCATCACCATATCCTTCAAGTACATAGTAAATCTTTAATAATGTATATTGAGATTCATGGTCCTTTTAAGGTATCACATGACTCAATAAGTATCTTGTCAATAATCTTTATCTAGTATACTAGTAAACCTACACAACAACCATACACCATATGCAATGTCGAGTCTAGTATAATCAATGTCATATGTATAACTGCTAAGATAATCACATACTAGGTTTGTCTAATACTATCATGAGTGTTCTTAAATAGTTTTACAATAGAATCATATCGTGTGAAAACAAGTTTATAGTCAAAGTAATTATATTTCTTTAATATCGTGTGAAAATAAGTATATATATAATGTGATTGATCCAAATATATCCTCTTCTCATGTCTAATGATATTGATTTCAAAAATCACATTGGTTTCTCTGAGGTCTTTCATATCAAAGTTGTTACAAAATAGAGATTTCACCATATTCACAACCTGAATGTTTGATCTGAATATGAGTAAGTCATTTACACAGAGTCATATGATAGTGTAAATTCTATTTTTCAGATTTGTAGTAAATGCATTTGTCACTTTGATTCACATTGTACCGATTCGATATTATTAAGTCATCAAACTTGTCATTCCATTTCTTTCGTGTTTGCTTTAGACTATACAAAGACATATCTAACTTATAGACCATGTTTTCTTACACATGAATAACAAACCCTTCTAGTTGATCCATATAGATTTCTTCATCTAAATCACCATTTAAAAAGATTTTTTAACATCCATTTTATTTACAATTAAGTTATAAATAGAAAAAATTGAAATTAGTATCCTAATGGATGTAATTCTAGTGACTAGAGAAACAGTATCGAAGAAATATATATTTTATCTTTGCTTAATACCTTTGGCTATAAGGTGAGCCTTGTACTTATCAATTGTTCCACTAAGTTTTAGTTTATTTATCAAAACTCATTTATATTTGATTGGTTTGCAACTAGGAGGAAAGTCTACTAAGTTTCAGGTCTTGTTAGATTCTACATAATCTATCTCATCATTAATATCTTCTTGCTACAAATCTACATCCAGATATGACAAGGCTTCTTTAAGATTTGTTGGATCTTCTTCTACTGTATAAGTAAAAAAATAGGACTCACAGTCTTTAGACACTCTCATTCTCTTACTTCGTCGAAGTTCTCTTTTTAATACATCGTTTGCTTTTGTTGCTTCTGAACACAAGAATGTGATTCGATTCAGTGCCCTACTATTTCTCGATTTGAAAGGAAATTTGACTTCATAAAACTCAACATCATATCATTCTTTGAACATTTTATTAGCATTTAGGTCATAAAACTATATGCCTTATTATTTACTGCATACCCAGTGAATACACATCCAATGACTCTACTAGCAGTTTTAACTCGCTTCAAACTCGGAATCCTAACATAAGTTAGACAACCCCAAGTTTTAAAGTAAGACAAGTTTGGTTGAATTTTCTCCAGTATCTCATAAGGATAGATATTTCTTTTAAATTTTGAAACTCTATTAGGACATAGCAAACATTCAATAAAATCCCCCTCCGCCACTAGTGAGACGCAGCACGAGAATTCAACATAATATCAACGACTAATTCAATAACAATATTATTCTTTCTTTCTGGTTTACTATTCATTTGAGGAGAATATGGTGAGTTTTTTTCATGTTGAATTCCATGTTGTTTATAAAATTCATTAAATAACCTAGAATCATACTTAGTTCCATAATAACTAGGAAAGCTCTTAATTTTCTTAGTAAATTGATTTTCAATTTCATTCACAAAATTCTTAAACATATCAAGCACATCACTTTCATTCTTAGTAAATTGATTTTAAATTTTATTCAAAAATTTCTTAAACATTTACAATTCATTCACAAAAATATCATTCTTAGTGATGATGTACAAATCTACCTCAATAGACTTACTTAATCATACATTATTCAGAAGAAAACCACAAACACAATTTGTTATAATCTCAGGAGTATGCATTGAAGGTAACAGAAACACAAGAAAGGGAGGGGCTTGAATTGATTTTCTAGAATGAAAATCTTTTTCTACCCAAGACAACAAGAAGAAAACTTAGAACAAAAATAACGAACATAATTATTTTTATCCTAGTTCGTTGTTAACAAAGTTACCTCCAGACCATCCTCAAGGGTGATTTTGCCTTATCACAAGGACTTAATCCATTATAATCAAACTCGATTACAACCACAAAGGCTAACTGTCAATGTCTTCTTAAAAAATTCTGAGTATACCCTAGTCTCTCAAGGAAGTATAACTCAAAAGTTGAGATAAAAAGTGTGTTACAAGATGCTTTTAAGAAAGCAGATTAAACAAATGAAATATAAATAATTACACACAAAATATTTTTTATGAAAGTGTATAAACAAAAGTTTCTGTGTTTGCTTTTCTTTCTCCTAAAACTATTCATTATAGCAACATTTACGTGATAGCTCTTTTTGCCAAAGTGTTGTATTGTTTTCTTATGTTCTTTATTTTTTCATTCTTCAAAGACTCCTTTATATAAATAATGAAAAGATTTGTTGAAAAGTAGAAATAGAATCCATAAATGTAGTTGTATCCTTGCATAACAATTAATGAAAATTGGAGACACAATGGTACAATAGTAGAGTCCTTTTCCCACAAAATTAGTATGGTAGAAGGAATATTTGATCTTGCACTGTGTATTATTTTCTCATGAATTTTTTTTTTGAACTTATCTTTAATTATTCAGAGGCTTTATATGGAGAGATGATGAAGTATGCATAGAAGAAGAATCAGAGTCTGTATGAGAGAATCTTCAGAACCTTGTCTTTAGAATCATCAGAACCTTGGTCTTCAGAATCTTCAAAAACCTTGATGTTCAGGGTCTTCAAAATATTGGTCACCAGAGAATTGAGCACAAGACTTCAGAGCTTGACTGTGTCAGAAACATTAAGAAATCTTGTAGAAGACACATCTCAGAGTCAGAGTGCACTAGATTCAAAATCTGATAACGTCACACGTCACTTTATCAGAATCAGAACTTGTATCTAGTATTTGCACACTTAACAAAACTATTAGGGTAAAAAAAATTGTTGTTTATGAATCTATATACTGTTATCATCAAAACATAAGATCATATGCAAAATCAAATCTTGTTCTTACAATCTCCCCTTTTTGATGATGATAAAACCACGCATTTTGATGAATACTTTTTACTTGCTTTAATCACATAAAAACATTTCAGAGTGAGTTTTGTAAGTGTAATGCCCCAATTTAGAATTATTGATTATTTTACTTGTTTATTTAATTTAATTGGTGTGA